TAAAAACCGAGCGGGGGATCAAACTGATCTAAACTCCGCAGAGAGATTTAAGACATCAAGTCTTAAATCTTCAGAGAGATTTAAGACATGAAGTCCAGTCATCATTCTGTCTCCTCCCTCCATCTCTGCTGAGGTCTGAGGATGGAAAATGTGATTCCAGCAGGGAGGCCATCAGGTAGAATGTGTTGTCCAACATGTCCCATCTGTCCTCACTGAGTTATAGGACAAGAGGCCTCAGTAGGATCTTTTTTTTATTGCCATCTTTTTTTAAACATCTCCTTTGTCTTCGTTCTTATGATCTCACTCTGTCTGATATTAATTTGTTCGCTTATTGTTTTTCCACAGCTATTTCTTTCCTTTTAACTTTAACTTAATTCTCCAGTTTTTTGAAGTATAGCGTTGCAGGACAGACTGAAACTCTGACCTCTTTTATTAGTATGATGACAGTGCTCCCTAAGGAAGATATAAAATGATTCTAATAATGGAGCCCTTCCTCCCTTCAGACGTTCCTCCAATAGCTCAGGTTCTGGTGAAGATTCTCAGTCATCCAGGTCATAGTCATTCCAAAAAAGTAAAAAAAAAAGCAATCCACTGGACTTTGTTTCCAAGCGTCTAGTGTAATAGAAAGAGAAATATGTTCTCCCTGCAGAAGTACCTTCCAAGCTGTCTACTGCTAATCCCAGCAGCACTGAGATGCTCCTGCAAATCGTTAGGTGCTGTTTCCAAAGCTCCTGGTTCTCTGTACCGCTGCACGTGTGACGCCAGTCTTTATTGTTTTAGAGTGTAATTGATTATGCTTTTATTTTTTATGAACAGACTCACGATTATACACTCACCGGCCACTTTATTAGGTACACCTGTCCAACTGCTCGTTAACACCTAATTTCTAAGCAGCCAATCACATGGCGGCAACTCAGTGCATTTAGGCATGTAGACATGGTCAAGACAATCTCCTGCAGTTCAAACCGAGCATCAGTATGGGGAAGAAAGGTGATTTGAGTGACTTTGAACGTGGCATGATTGTTGGTGCCAGAAGGGCTGGTCTGAGTATTTCAGAAACTGCTGATCTACTGGGATTTTCACGCACAACCATCTCTAGGGTTTACAGAGAATGGTCCGAAAAAGAAAAAGCATCCAGTGAGCGGCAGTTCTGTGGGCGGAAATGCCTTGTTGATGCCAGAGGTCAGAGGAGAATGGCCAGACTGGTTCGAGCTGATAGAAGGGCAACAGTGACTCAAATAACCACCCGTTACAACCAAGGTGGGCAGAAGAGCATCTCTGAACGCACAGTACGTCCAACTTTGAGGCAGATGGGCCACAGCAGCAGAAGACCAAACCGGGTGCCACTCCTTTCAGCTAAGAACAGGAAACTGAGGCTACAATTTGCACAAGCTCATCGAAATTGGACAATAGAAGATTGGAAAAACGTTGCCTGGTCTGATGAGTCTCGATTTCTGCTGCGACATTCGGATGGTAGGGTCAGAATTTGGCGTCTACAACATGAAAGCATGGATCCATCCTGCCTTGTATCAACGGTTCAGGCTGGTGGTGGTGGTGTCATGGTGTGGGGAATATTTTCTTGGCACTCTTTGGGCCCCTTGGTACCAATTGAGCATCGTTGCAACGCCACAGCCTACCTGAGTATTGTTGCTGACCATGTCCATCCCTTTATGACCACAATGTACCCAACTTCTGATGGCTACTTTCAGCAGGATAATGCGCCATGTCATAAAGCTGGAATCATCTCAGACTGGTTTCTTGAACATGACAATGAGTTCACTGTACTCAAATGGCCTCCACAGTCACCAGATCTCAATCCAATAGAGCATCTTTGGGATGTGGTGGAACGGGAGATTCGCATCATGGATGTGCATCCGACAAATCTGCGGCAACTGTGTGATGCCATCATGTCAATATGGACCAAACTCCCTGAGGAATGCTTTCAGCACCTTGTTGAATCTATGCCACGGAAAATTGAGGCAGTTCTGAAGGCAAAAGGGGGTCCAACCCGTTACTAGCATGGGGTACCTAATAAAGTGGCCGGTGAGTGTATATCAGAGCTTCTGTACCCATCAAATTGTCAGGGCGGGCTTTATACGATGATGGACAGATGATCAACAGTAACGTAATCAACCACGTGACCAAAGCGCGCTTGGGTGACAACAATAATGGCTGCCGCTGGAGAGTTGAGGTGTGTAGATTCTGCTATTAGGTCTGTTCTAGAAGATATCGACAGCAAATTCATTTTAAAAGAGAAACAGAGAAACGCGATCAAGGCTCATCTTATTCTAGGCGTGCAACTGCACACTTTGATTTTTGTTGACAACTATGCGTCGCTTAACATACGTCACGCACTCCGTTGCTCTTATTGGTTGTAGGTCTATCCAATTGAGTCCAGAGGCATTTTTTTTCCTGGTTCGTTCGAAACACGCCCTGTAATCACAGCTCTATGGAGCAGCATCAGACTCATTCTGACTAGAATTGAGTAGGACTACGTCAGGCTACCAACCTTTACCTGTTGAGTAGAAACTTTGCAACAGAAGCATCGGTGGTAAGCCCGACCTCTGCTTTCTGTGTACGCCATCGTGTAAAAGAATCTCCCAAAAAAAACCCTTGTCTTGTTCTCTCTTCATAGGCATTTCCCTTCTTCTCATACACTTCATAGACACTTTTTCTCTTACGACCCTCAGTCATTTTAAAAAAACCGCAGTGAAAGAGGCAAGCTTCAATGACTGTCTGAAACGTTAGCTCACCACAGAAGCAAGCCTGAAAGTGTGCCAAAGCATGAAAATATAGCTAACTGGGGATAAGCACGTAGGACGGCCTTTAGTAAACATATTACCAGAATGATTGACAACTAGGAGGACCTCTTATTTAGATGATCCACCCGGAAAAAGAAATTCCTCCACTACACCTTTAAGCTAGACATAAACCTGACTCAATTGGTTGCAGATCTAGAAGAACGGCTTCTAAAACAGATGGCCTCACATGATATTTAGTGAAGCTTTTGATCATCATGATGATTTCCAGCTTCTCACTTTAGATCTTTAAATCAGCACCATGGACAGCACCTAAAAAATGATTAAGCACCTATATGCTGTCATGCTATGATGATTAGATATTATTGATTGAGCATTAAAAGAATAAGAAAGTGTTAATAAAATCATAAGATGTTTGAACCCCAACGCCATGTTAACCAAGTTAGTGTTTTAGTTGATGTAGAATATTTTGTCTTAAAACATTTGAATGATATTTCTCTATCCATTGTTGTTCTAGCTTTCTGAGAATCTTGGCGGAAAATCGGAGAATGGAGACATAAAAGAGCTGATGAAACTACTGGAAGACCCCCACATGAAGGTGGGTCTCAGTCCTCTTATTTATTTGTTGTTAATTTGATATTCGTTTGATTTTTTTTTTATGATTGAAAATAAATCTTTCCTTGGAGGATAAAAGTCTTTGGATCAAGATTAATGCTGGTTTTGTATCGGCAACATTAACGTGAAAAACTAACAGCCGCAGGCCTTTTTCTCTCTGTTCTTTTTGGCTGCAGCTGCTGACCTCATTAACCAGATGCAGACAGCTACTAAATTAATGCACAGACTTTCATTTTTTTAATCCCTGCCTCTGGCCGTCCATCAGCTCCTCCAGGTGTCTCGGCCAGACAGAGCTGGCTTCAGCGTGGAGGATCGGTGGGACAGTTGGACGGCTTCCTTCTAAACACTTTGTCCTCGTGAATATTTGGCTCCTCCTTGCTTCATGGAGATAAGGATTTCTACTTTCTCTCAAACTGAGAATCCAATAACACATAACTGCACCTAGATGAAGCAAGCCGCCCTTACCCAATCTGGATTCCTCATTTGTATTACTCCTGCGGTGAATTTATATGTTTTGGAAAAGTTAAATTCATCTCGGCACAGAACTGGTAAAATTCATCAGTCAGGAAGCTCAGCTGATTTTATTGATGAGGCGAGGAAAGCCTGACAGTCTGGTTCACACACAGAGAGGATTATGTTTCCATAGGTTCCATCTAAAGGTCACAGCTACAGCTTTTTCATCAAAACCATAATTAATAATCCTTCCACAGATAGACTGATGCAGAATAAAAGTATTATTTACAGAAGACAATATATATATAGCATACTAGTATTTGTTTTATTAGGCCCGAGCAACGAAGGCTGCAAGAGCCTATTGTATCTCTATGGTTTCTTCTTATTATTATTACGATTCTTGTAGCTCTTTGAACGCATTTTACGGGGACTTCGCATATTCAAAAACTCAGGAAAACGTGGCAGTAAATTGACCCCCGCGTGAAATAGCCGGTCTATAATGGAATCCAAAATGGCCGCCCCCAAATTACTCCACAGCGCCCCCTAACGTGAGTTGGGGGAAACCGTAAGTCACAGAGAGATGAAATTTGGCACACAGGTAGATCTCCTCAAATTGTGATAAAAAGTCTCTTGGAGGTATGCCCTAAAACCCACAGGAAGTCGGCCATTTTGGGTCAAAGTGCGATTGTTGGCCATTTTTCATTTATTTTGATGTTTTACAAAAATATGAATGTGTACTTCTATTTATGATACCAACATTGACACAAAAGAATTCTGCTCCACTTGAACTAATGATACATTGAAGTCACAGTAGATATTACCAGATTCTTGTAGCTGTGTGAAATAGCTCCAAAAGGACTTCCCAGTGTAATATTTCTCAAAAACACCCTAAAACGAAGCAAAAACAATCGGGAACCTCAGTCAGGCTTTTGAGCGTTTGTGTCGAATTTAGGAAGCAAAGTGGACTCAGAAGTCAAGCAGAGGTTGCTGCTTCCCTTCTGCAAAAGTGAATAAAAAGTTTGCTCATGTTAATCAAACAGGAGCAGGTGAGAATGTTTGTCCCACTTAGTGGCGGAGGAAGTAAATTGTACCATCTTCTTTAAAGCAACACTGCATAACTGTTTACCCTACTGTTAACATCATTTGAGATACTGAATGATTTTTAGTGGCCTGATTAGTAGTGGGCTGCTCTTCCCACAAACTCAACCATGTAACCACAGGGTCGGATCTGTCACTGAATGAGTCTAGTGGGAGTCTGAGCTTCCCTTAAACACGAGAGCTAACTAAGGCAACAAAACAGATATGACCCGTACCTAATCAGCCATATTTTGGGTTGTATGATGTAGAGCCATTGATGAAGGTAAACACACAGGTGGCAATGGGAATCAAAAACCGGTTCCTGTTCAGAACCGGTTCTGTGGCACCGTTTGGCAGCTCGCTTAACGATTTTCTTAACGATTCCAGGCAGCACCAGAGCCTAGCTCCGGGCAGCACGACTTAGGTCAGGTTTTTTAAGCAGGTTACGCACACGGCATTCAGTAAGCAAGTACGACGGGACCGGGCGTAAGTCTATAAAAGCAAAACAAAAGCGGTCAAAGCATTCGAAAGATTTGCTATATTTTAAGGAATAGAAAGATGGCAACAAGGCGCTTCGCAATCATTGCAAAGGGGCAATAACGTCCGTGGGAGGAAATACATCCAACATGCAGAAACACCTACGCACAAAATATGGTATACATTTTAACGAACGCCGTGCTTTTGATGCTTCTGGATAGAAGCTAAAGTTACTACCACCATGGAAGGCAACTCTGGTGGTAAGTAGCTGGTTTTATATCACTGGCTGTGCTTAATGTGGTTCCTAGTAAATCATATGCAATTTCTGGAAATAAACCAATCTCCTACCTCTCTTTGGGGTTATTAAACATGCTACGAAGTTGCCCCACAGTTCAGGGAGCGAGAGAAAGGTGACGCATGTTTATTTAAATCAAGGGGAGATGAGTTTATTTCCCGAAATTGTACAGTAAGGCTTTTTCATTAAACGGATGCCTTCACCATTAGATTTAGATGACTGTGACGAGACGGGTAGCCTGTCTGGCTCAGAGGCAGGCAGCTCCCGTTCATTGCCTTCTGTTTTTGCTGAGGCAGGCAGAAATAGAATGTCCCAGGGGAAGGTAGACGAATGTCACCGTGCACTTACCAAGTTCATTGTTTTACAGAATCGATAAGGAATTGAATCGTTTCACAGAATCGATAAGGAATTGAATCGTTTCACAGAATCGATAAGGAATTGAATCGTTTTACAGAATCGATAAGGAAATCGGAAAACGTGAAGATCTTATCAATTCCCAAACCTACACACAGGTCCTGGTGTTAGGTCTGTTTGACAGAGTACAGAGGTAACAGAGGGGGAAAGGTGGAGATTAGATGGAAGCAAATCAATCAGAACTTTGTTAGAAACACAAATCCTCTGATCTAAATCATGGAACAAAGGTTGGAGATGAAGTTTGGCAACAGTTGAGGTCAAGTTGTGTTTAGGATTGATTTTCTTCTGCTTTATAAATCAAAGGTCTGACATTCAGCTAGCAGTGGAGCTTGAATGTGAAAGATGCATAAAGCAGGAGATGTTTCCATAACTGTGAAATTGATGCTGATTACCTCAGGGGACAAATCCATCTCAGCAGCAGAGAAACTCTGTAGTTCTGGTGTTCTGCAGTTGATGTTTGGGCCCCAGGCCAGCATGGCTCCTCCTCCCTGCTGAGAGGCTGATAGATGCCTGGCTGACCTGAGCTCAGCTAAAGTGACTGACAGTCCATCCCCATAAAGAGCCAAAACCCCACACGGGTCCAACCTGAACCTAAAACAGAACCCACTCCCTCTCCCTCCAATTTTAGTCTCTCTTCCACGAGAAAATGTTGAATCTGATCCGGATCCAATCTCTTAATTTAATTAATTGCACCAAAGTCCAGTGAGTTAAATAGTCAAGCTAATTGATGTCAAAGTCGCTGATTTGGCTCATCAGTATGTTCCCTGTTACTTTTCAATGATCTCCTGAGCCTGTTGTTTATTCTTTCCATCATTTGCTGCTTTCTCTCCCTCCTCCAGAGCCTTCTGTCCGTCCATGATACAGTTGCTCAGAAGCGGTACGACCCTGAACTCCCTCCTCTGCCTGAAGTCATCGATGATGAGGAGAATTCAGTGAAGATTATCAGGCTGGTCAAAAACAAGGAGCCTCTTGTAAGTCTCTTTTTAATGTGTTGCTGTGTTGATCTGCACGGTTCGACTATTAAACTTACAGTAGAAAAAGTGTGATCTCCAGCTGTTTCTTGACCAGACTGTGGAATGGAAAGACCTCAGTTCAGTTTGAGGAATCGACCTTAAGTTTAAAATGGTGCTGGGGACAGTAGATCTAAAGCCCTTTGAAGATCCAATTGAGTCACTGACTAGATAAGTCTAGTAAGTTTTAGTTATATGGATTGGTCTCTCTCTAAAAGGGCTTTGGCAATGGGTGTGTGCTTGTATGGTTGTTTATATTTGATGGACTGGCAGCCTGCATTAGGAGTACCCTGCCTCTCCCACAATTCATAGTTCTTATGTAAGGCAACATCTGTGGGCACTTTGTTACTAACGATCGAATTTCATGGTAGGTAAAAGATAAGACGAGTTTTTTCCCTACCAGTTAAAAAGGGTGTTTTATTTTCGGCTAACGGGAGTTCATGATGTGCTGAAAGTTCAGCAAAGCCGTTCCCAAAAAATCTAAAAAAGTATAAAAACACTTTAAACAGAGAAATTTAGCATTGCGTGTCTAGTTTGGAAACATGAACGACTACAACTGTTTCATCCCACATGTCCCACATATCAGTCTTTGGGACGTGACCCTCTTCTGTGGCTGTGCATGCCCACTTCTAGTGTTTATGTGTTTAGTATGCTTCGGTTTCGACCATTCATTGTAGCTCCACTACTTTAGAAATGGCTGAAAGTCACAGGAAGCAGGCAGTCTGACAAGGGCTGCCAGGATGGTCTTAAACATTTGCAGTTTTTCAACCAGTGAAGACGAGTTAGCACTATTGAAAATGGAAAAGTGAGTAATATCAGTAATAATTATTATATTATTTAATATGGACCAAACTCTTTGAGGAATGTTTCTAGTACCTTGTTGAATCCATTATTGGCTTACAATCATGTGACACACTAATATTAGTCGGAATCGAAATATTACTGCTAAACAAATGAAGGATTAGAAAAGCATGGATGCCCATAACATTTTCGTCTGTGGATGGGTTAAAGAAGGCTGAGTTAATGTCCTGAAAGACAAATCTTACAATTCAAAAACGTAAAAAAAAAAAAACAAAACCCTCTGGACTCTGTTTTCCAAGTTTTGATACATTTCGCTTCCCATCCAGGAAGCTTTTTCAATTCAAAGGCTTCCTGGATGGGAAGTGAAACGTCTTCAAACTTGTGTTTTCTAACTTTTTTAACTCTTTTGACAAAGTTTACATGTAGTCTAAAATGTTCAGTGTAACTCTGGTCTGTCCAAACTCGGCCCTCGAAGGCCACAAGTTGTTTTTTTTTTACTTTGTTGGAATGATTCTGACCTGGATGACTGAGAATCTTCACCAGCACGAATATTGCATCATAACGAGTCGTTTAAGTAAAGACTCAGTTATATGAATTTGTACTTAATATGTATTTCTCTCTACAAACAGCTATGTGTCTTTTAAAAATCAAAGTGAATTACTAACCTTTAAAAAGGTTTCACCACTCCCTTCGAAGTGAATGAAGTTTTAGCAAGCCATATTTCCCTATTTCGTACTCGTCGTCTCCCGCTTTATCCGGAACCGGGTCGCAGGGGCAGCAGACTAAGCGGAGACTCCCAGACTTCTCTCCGCAGACACGTTCTCCAGCTCTGTTGGGGGAAGCCCTAGGCGCTCCCAGGCCAGCCGAGAGACATAGTCTCTCCAGCGTGTCCTATGTCGTCCCCTGGGCCTCCTCCCGGTGGGACATGCCTGGAACACCTCCCCACGGAGGCATCCAGGGGGCATCCGAAGAAGATGTCTGAGCCACCTCAATTGACTCCTCTCGATGTGGAGGAGAACCGGCTCTATGCTGAGCCTCTCCCGAATGACCGAGCTCCTCACCCTATCTCTAAGGGAGAGCCCAGCCACCCTGTGGAGAAAGCTAATTTCAGCCGCTTGGATCCGGAATCTCGTTCTTTCGGTCATGATCCAGATTTCATGACCATAGGTGAGGGTAGGAACATAGACCGAACGGTAAATTGAGAGCTTTGCCTTTTCGCTCAGCTTTCTCTTCACCACGACAGACCGGTGCAGCGTCCGCATTATTGCAGCAGCCGCACCGATCCGTCTATCGATCTCCCGCTCCATTCTTCCCTCACTCGTGAACAGGACCCCAAGATACTTGAACTCCTCCACTTGAGGCAGGGACTCTCCTCCAACCTGAAGGGGACAAGCTATCTTTTTTCTTGTCGAGAACCATGGCCTCGGACTTGGAGGAGCTGATTTCCCTATTTCTGTTTGTAAAGTCCTTAATGGAAGGTCCTTTTTTGACATCTTCACCAGGAACCTGAAAGTATCCTTTATAGGTCTTGCAATTTGATTTGTTGGAACAACCTAAAAGGAATATTCAAGTGATGATTGAATACTCGCAAAACACGCAGCTCTAGTCAACAACTTGCTCGGCAGACTTCCGCTTCATGAGCCGCATAAGTAATGAGGCAGAAGTGACGTCATTTGCAAGCCAAGAATACCAAAAAGGTTCAAGGCAGTCTGAAGGCAAAGGGCATTCCAACCTGGTCCTAGCAGGGTGAGTGCGGTTGGCGAGTGTTTGACTACATGGATTTCTGACATGAAACCCCTGCCTATGATTTTGGAGAGCACATATCCTTTAAAAGCGCAAGTTAAATGATTACATTTAAAACGGCGATATGAATGGCAGACATAAAGAAACAGGAGCTTCTTAAGGCTACATTTGAGAGCTTACCCTATAATAATTTAAGTAACATACCAAGTGAAAGCCTGGATGTGAGCTAAAGGAATATGTCACAGCAAGTTCATCATATCCAGTTGGATCAAAGAAGACCTTAGCTTTCATGTCAAAGCAAAACCAAATGTGTTTTTCAGTTGCTAGCTTTTGGGTGTCCAGTTAACAGCCTAATGTTGGTAATAGGTATTCTGAATTAGACTGGGTTAATAGTTGGGAAACTTTTTTTTTCTTCTCCCATGTTTATTGCCAGAGTCTTACTGTCCTAGATGCCATAGCCATTTGTTTTTCTATTCAGCATTGGGTCTCATGGTTTTATTTTCTCTTCACCCCTCATCATTCTGGACGTCTGTGGTGAAGGACTCTGCTATTTCCAACTTTTCCCAACGCTAATTGGCTGTTTATCCAATTTGCAAATTGGATTCCATAATGATGGGGTTTTCTTGCATGCTTTTTTTTGCATCTGTCCTAGTTTTGTCTTTATTATAGTGTTGACTGACCTCATTGTCTGGCAGCCGATGTCTAAATGCACTCACATGCCCTCATTGGCCTCATTGTCCTCCATCTGTCATCTCAGAGCTTTGTTGTGTGCTGAGGTCCATCCATCTCTGTTCCTAAGCAGACATGTTCTGGACCCGGCCGGCTCTATTTTTACCCTGTGGTTTCCACTCTGACCACCATCTTGGCTTCAGGCCGGCGCTCCTCTCACCACAGCCTGGAGGAAGGGGAACACACCTCAGCCATCTTTGGGTTCCTGCCTCTGCCTGCTGCATGTTCTCTTGGAGGGATTCTGGGTTCCTTTGTCTCACAGCACACATTGTTGAGAACACTTCCTGGGCCAGGTTGTTCAGAGCCTGATGACAGATGCTGTTTCCTGAAACCACGATGTGGTTTTCAGTAAACATGTATTGCATTTGCAATGTAATCGCAAAAAAAGACACTAGATTTTTGATCATTTTACATTAACCAAGACTAAGATACTAACTCTCACTCCAGCGTTTTAAATGGCAGTATTAGACCTAAAATAGTTTTTTTGCCGTGGAGGAAGAGAATGTTGCTGTACTGATTAATTTCCACTGAGCAGCAAAGTCATGTAATAATGGGCTATGGACAAGAGATAACCACTACCTACCTACCTACCTGCCTGCCTGCCTGCCTGCCTGCCTGCCTGCCTGCCTGCCCGCCCGCCCGCCCAACCACCCACCCCCTCCATCCATCCATCCATCCATCCAATTATGTGCTTTTTTCACAAAATTTATAGCCTAAGGCTGTGGACATTGATAGTCATTAACTTTCAAATACACTATAGCTATATAGCCTTTTTATTTAGATTTAAATGCAGCAGAAACCCAGTAATCAACCCTTCATTCAACACGGCAGAAAGATCTGAAACGTAGGACAGTGGGTCCTGAGGACCACGAACACAGTAAAGTTCAGGGAAATCATCTGAGACAATCTGAATCCTCTTCCAGGATGTGTGCGGACCAATGGCGTAATGACGCAACAATAGACCAAAAGCCAACATTGTCTGGGTGGGCCCCATATGAAGTACAACAAGTGATAAAAGTTCATGAGACTGCGACAGTTCCATAAATCGACCAAGAAGAAACAATTATGCAATTCTCAGTAGTATATGATCACAAAAAACACACAGAAAAATATTGAACGCGCACCTTGAATGGAACCATTGGTGACAGCGCACCACCAGACGCTACAGACATCCCAAGTTCCACAAACTCATTTCAAGGAGATGTTTATCGTCTCTTCTTTCCTTTTTCTTTTCTGGAATCCGCTTAAGTACCTCTTTTTGGTATTCATCATTGCTAACACATTGTATGTAACGGCTATAGTTTTAATCTACGCGCTGTGTTACCCCTAATTCCAAGTCTTAGTGTAAAAAATAAAATACTCAAATACATCGTTCTTGTAAGATCTTTATTGCGGGTTGAAACACATTATATGAGTGTATTTTTTATCAACCGTCTAATGGGTATAGACTATTTTAATAATTGTGTATAACTATACACAGTTATTAACATAGTAATTAAAAGTACCACTGTTTGCATTGCTATTGGTGTCGTGTTTAAACGGCTCACCATCATGTTAAATCTGGCATGTGTTGGGGTATAAATATGGTCTGGTGCGGTCATTTACTTCAGTATCAGGTGGGTTTAAGAGGAATTTTTGGCAACATTACATCTGCAAAGAGACGTCCTCGTCTACAGTTGCGTAGATGG